AATTCAGCGAAGAAAATTTTCAAGCAAAGATGAACAGTGTCTAGCAGTGGAATCCAAGACGTACGTTTCGTCCTATTTGAGACTCGTCAGCTGGATATACCTGCATCTCACAGTTGATGTCCACTCTGTCATATCCATCTTTACTTATAAAGCTTGTGACTTCAGGCAATATCTAGGCAGTCCGAACAGGATTCCTATATGCCGACATGAGACTGATCAATTGCAGTCTTAGATAACAATGGGAAGATACAAGTAAATAGCACCAAGTAAAGAAACTTTTCTTTTCGACGAAATCGTTTACTTAAGCTATACATTCATAGGTATAGCTATATTGAAAATATATGTCTATAGACGGATAGAAAAGGTCACATTGTAAATATATTCGTAACTTATTATCAAATGTGTTTTTTCTTCATATCTGTCATCTGGACAATTATCTGACCCATAAATCATTTTCTTCCCTACCCTTTGATTAGTACGTAACCTCATTTGATATTTAATTTAGAATCAATTTATGATGCAACCTTTTCTATCCCTCTATAATCATATATTTTCCATATAACTATATATATGAATATACAGCTTAAGCAAATGATTTCGTCAAGAAGGAACTTTTCTTCACTGAATTCTCTTTTATTTATTTATTAAATAAAACTAACTTTCAAATATTTAACCAAATAAATTCAAATAATTTTGAATAATTGCGATGTTTAACGAGTTAGTTTTCTATGGAATAGGTTCGATAACCCCATGCCCAACCATCCTTCCTTGGAACCGGCGGTAGCCCTAAAGGGGTTCCAGGTTGAGTTTTAAATGATTTGAACATTTTTTCTGACTCTTAGCTATGAATTTATTTTTGTTCCCATTTTAATCATATACTCGTACATTATTGATCAAAATAGGAAAAATCAATATTTATTGCTGATTAATAGCAATCAAATCAATAAAATTCTAATCATCATATTTCATTTAACCTAATCATATTTACTTTAATTCATTATAAATAATAATGTATAATTTGACTAGAAAATAATTAAATTTTGAATCCAAACAATGTATATTTAGTAGTCTACATGAACATTAAATTATAGATATTACTTGTATGTTTTTAAGTAATGGATTTTTATTCAATCTGACCAATATGACCAGTTATTAGCATACTTTGAGTTATAATAATAATAATAATAATAATAATTTTACTAATAAAAGCGATTAATTGGCAGTAATAAATATGAATATATTCACTAATACTAATGATTATACATACTAATTATAATTTATGTATGCAAATACAAATTGTGAAAGTATAACAGAAGAATATACACCACTATTGAAAGATGATTGACAAAAAGTAGAAACAATCATGAGTTGAACAGATATATTCTGATAGAAGATTTATAAACGACGTTTTGTAATTTGATACAAGATGGTAATTGGAGGTAGCCAACAGGAAACTCTGAACCTAGGTTTCATGATACTTGGCACTTATCAGCAAGATGTACCTGTAATCTTGAGGGAACTGATACTCCTTGACGGATTCGATTCCTTATCATCCAGCTTCACAGTCAGGGATGTTATCACTGAGTTATCCGAGTCGCGATTGACTTCCTGTGGGAATGAAATGTATTTACAATTGATTGACTACTAGGTGCTGATCACTTTCATGTATGTCAGGTCCTTCTGAGTGCAGTTCGAATCATATTGATGCATGCAATATGTATCATCAAAGATGATGTTATTTTAAAAGGTAGAATTATCAGCCTAATACAAAATGTGATAATCATGAATCCTGTAAAAAATTTATTAAGTGTAATGAGAATTGTAATTAACGTAAAATACTCAGAACTTTAGAAACGTTAGTATGTTGTGAAATCATGTAAATTTTACAATAGGAGTTGTAACATATTTCCTGTGGAAGTGGTGTGATCATATTAAATGACATCCAGTTCACGATGAAAACATCAATCTTACTTCATTTCCAAATATATTTCAGTAAAAAACGTCTGACATTCATGAAACTAAGACGTTTTAACACATCAAACTTGTGACATACTACTCGTTTTACTTGTTTCATTGTCGGTTGAAAGAATTCGTGCTCACTTTCTGTCTGTTTTAAATAGTCTCCTGATGCGTTTGGTTAACCTATTTCCTTTGAACTCCACTAAGTGTCTGAATCAAGGTTTTCTATAACATTTGTGCTTGAATTTCGCTTTGACGTCATGAGATGGTGGCGAAATGGAAAAATGTGAAGATTTTGAATAGACGCAATTCCAAAAACACTAGAGAATATTTAGAAGCTTGGCACTCACATCAATCAGCAATAAACAAGCACATTGAAATCGATTTAATTTATCAACCAACCAGTAAAATTATGCACAAACATAGAAACAAAAATCAGACCACTGGGAGATAAAACCAAAACAATGACAGGTTTAAGGTCAACAATAACCAATCAAAATCGAGGTCTACAGGACAAGTTGTGAACACCATGTGGAGAAATTCGAACACTTCACTTCTACCTGAAGTTTGTGTTGAGGATGTCATTCAGAATAACAATGAAATCTTCACGACCAAACGATCCATCTCAGAAAACAAAACTCCATCAAAAGCTTTGACGTTATCTACTTCAGCGTGATAGGAACGTTCAGAATCGTTGAATTGTGAAACGTAATAGAGAACTTTTTAAGTCAACTCAAAGGCTAACTTTTCCGGTCTAATTTAAGGCTCGTTATTTCTGTTCAAACACGTGTAATGTACACGCTTGCAAATTAAAATATCTTATCAAATACTCTTAGGTTGCTTTAGTAGACATAATATACGATTCAATACACCATTTTTTAGTAAACTTAAATTCCAGACAATCTTATGTGATTAATATCATTTAGAAAATCCGAGAGACTTTTCTAACCGAAATTAAGATCTCAGACAGAATAAAAATTCAATCCAGAAATATTAAGTTTTTCTCAATCAGTTTATTGTTTAGATGATTTAGAGTGTAACTCGTTCAACTCCGTACCCATCAGTTAGATGTAGGTACACCCTAATATTGATGTACACACAGTGACTCATTAAATCCTAAGTATAAACAGTCGATAAGTAAATACCCTAAATAAATAATTTACAATTTAAACCAGATTATAAATTTAATTAACAGTTGGCATGAATTATGCACATAACCTTTCACTAGTTCATAAGTAAGAAGAATTAACATTAGGCCCATATTCTACAAATTAAACTTTACTCCGAAATTGTTACAATTACAAAGAAGTGGTTTTACACTGAATGATCAACTTCTTTTCTCAATAATTCTAACTTTAGAGTCTGAACTTCAGCTACTGATCAAAATAAATTACTGCTATCTTTGAATCATTCTGACAATTTACACTTTTATTTCACTACAAATTACCAATATAAATTAGCATCACATGAAATCTATCAGAGACATCAATTGATCTCATATAATACAACATTCATAGAACTTAAGCGTTTGGTCTGTATTATTAACTTCACAAATCATGATCAATTTGATTAAATCTTTCAGTATATTCAAAAATTCCAAACTAGTATGCATTTAAAAAGTCTTTGATTATAAAACGATTAAAATTTACTATTTCAGTTTTAGAAACTGTTAATCTGATTTACATATGGTTGTTATGTCAACGATTATCATCCAACATAACAGATCAAATTTTGCAAAATAGTTTTTCTTATTTCAAAAAACCCAGCCTTTTGCCTAAGGATGGATATGAAGAGAATATTCTGGATAGTCTAAAAGAAAGATGATATACAAATAATAAGGTAACTTTATTAAGTTATCTGTTCCCATAAAAATATAACTTGTTTGAAGTAAGGAAACGTCAGTTTTCTAATCATGGAAATATCACAGGTACACTGTAAATCTAATTGATACAGTTAATCTAGCATCTTAAAAGATAGACAGTCATAGTAAACATTGCCATGAAGATAACTGACTGAAGACTATAGAATTTAAATCCAAATTCGTAATTAGTCTACCTTCGTGTTGATAGTATCTCTGACCAAGCTTTGAGTGTTGAAAATCTTGAGAAAGTATTTAAATCGAGAAGCATACATATATTTGATACTGTGATCCTAAAATTCCTTATGCAACTGAAAATTTTGTTACTCAAGTTTAGAGACTTAGAAACAGCTTGATACTCGTAACGTAATATCAAGAGGAGCAATGGAATTTTCCTAAAATGTTTTTAAACTTTGAAGGTTTTTAAAAGAGTTTCACCTGTAAATAACGACTATATTCTTTGAGAAGACTTCATATTCAGTAGTTTTCCTGTGATGTAATAATTCAATCTCAAAAAATGTCGGATCCCACCTATGTAAATGCTCAATACTATTTCATTTACAGATCCAATATTCATGGGGATTTCTGTTTGATGAAGCATAAATCCTCGACAAACCTCAATTACATTTTAATGACAAGCGACAACAAGTAGTAGAAAATGTCCAGGGAGCCCCACTAAACACGTACAGAGATACAGTTATGAAATTGGCTTTGATATGTTTCCTGATGGTATAAAGGAAATATTTGAAAATAATGTTTCTTAAAACGAATAAAAGAGTTTGATACATATATCTATCAATATATATAATATTCTTATATAACAGCAGACAACCAGAAAAGTATATGCTTGTGTTATTTATTATCAGAAAATCCTTGATATGTCAAATATTTCAAAAGAGAAAGAATGTGAAAGGTTGGTAAAAAAATATCTAGAAAAAAATCTGAGCTGATTATTTTATCTCTAAGGTTTATAACTACTCACCAAAATTGTAGTAGTATATTAACATAATTGTTCAATGATCACAGAAATATATTTTCATCTCTATATTTGTAATCAAAACAAGAAAAAATCAAAACCCCAACAATTGAAAGAATGGTACAAGGTATAACAGGGAGAGACAGGTAATCCATCATTTTGCGAGTACAAAACCGTAATGAGGAAAAATATTAAGATAACAATTAATTAACGGTCCACCGATAATTGCCTTGATGTTGTATGAGATGAGTTCTCAACTATTCTAGATGTATCTTCACCTGTTCGACTCATCGTTGATGGCCTTTGCAAACAAGTTGACGAATAAGTCGGTGGAGGTGTGGATAAAGGACTAGCAAGTGCTTGGGAACTGCGATTATGAGCAACTAGATCGGGTTGACTGTGGATAGTAAGACGTAAAGCTGATTGACCATTTGAATTAACTGAATAAAAAGAAAGTGGAGTTGGCGGAGGTGGAGCCTCATCATTCGCTGGTGGCCCAGTATTTAAACATTCTTCGTAGTTTGGTAATTTGGGCAAAGCAGATGGTGGTATGAAGTCAAACATTGGCATAGCTATGGAGATAAAAAGAGAAAGTAAAAAGCGATTGGATTTTATTTCTCAATTAATAATGATGAACTGATCAAATTTGTATATATATATTACTTAACTATATACGCCTGTTACTCCTAATGGGGCGTAGGCCGCCGACCAGCCCTCTCCAACTCACTCTGTCTTGGGCCTTCATTTCCAGTTCTACCCAATTTTTGTTTATTATTTTCATGTCTGTATCCATTTCCCGGTGTAATGTGTTCTTTGGTCTTCCTCTTCTCCTTTGGCCTTGACGATACCAATTGAGGGCTTGTCTTGTGATTCATCTGGGCGTTTTCCTCAATGTGTGTCCTATCCACTTCCAGTGCTTCTTCCTGATTTCTTCCTCCACTGGGATCTAGTTTGTTCTCTCCCACAGTAGGTTGTTGCTAATAGTGTCTGGCCAACGGATCCGAAGTATTTTGCGTAGACAACTGTTAATAAACACTTGTATCTTCTAGATGATGGCTTTCGCAGTTGTACAAGTTTCCGTTCTATACAGTAGAACTGTCTTGACATTTGTATTGAAAATTCTGACTTTGTTGTTGTTTGACAATTGTTTTAATTTCCATATGTTTTTCAATTGTAAATATGCTGCTCTTGCTTTTCAGATCCGCGCCTTCACATCTGCATCTGATCCACCCTGTTCATCAATCATGCTGGCTAGATATTTACAAATTTTCCCCATCAATTTTTATTGGATTGGTGCATGCTGGATTGTATCGGAGAATGTTGCTTTTCCCTTTGTGCATGTTGAAACCTACTGCTTCTGAGGCTGCTGCTACACTGGTCGTCTCCTCCTTCATTTGTTGTTGTGTGTGCGATAGAAGATCCAGATAATCAGTGAAGTCTAGATTATTCAGCTGCATCCTAGCTGTCCACTGTATACCATACTTCCCGCCCCCATATTTTGACTTCACCGCCTGGAGCCCCTCTCTGGCGACTACCCGTCCCAAGCCCGGATAAAGGGGAGGGTTGGGCATGGAGTTATCGACTCTATCGCTTAGAACACTAACTCACTAAAAACACGCTAACCAGAAATATACATTTATTTCACTGTGGTATCTTGTTTCATTATTGAAATGTTTCATTTTATACAGCTACAGTGAATGGACAATTTCTTTTACAGAAGTGTTATATAAATATATATCTAGGTAACGCATGATAACCACTAGAACGCATTTCCATAATGAATAATATCTACTTAAATACCAAGAAAATAGATTGTTGATCAGAAAATTCAGTTTTATATATACTAAATTTACATACAATACATAAAAGTATCCTATACAAATCTATGTAGCGCCTAATGACAACAATTTTAATGTTTGAATAGTATAACTTGTAAATTCTTTTCGATAAACAAAAAAATATTATGTAACACAATAGTGAATACTTGACTCTTAGCTATTGATATTCATTCATTCATAAAAATGAAATGTTCACCGATTGTGTATTAACTATATAACTATAGTGTATTAAACAAATAAAAAAAGGAGGATAAATTTGCCGTAAATTCAACGATTCTTGTAAATCATTATTTTGGATGTATCATGATAGAATCTGATGAAGATCGTTTGCACAGTTATGTGAATTTTTAAACTGTTAGAAAAAATAATGGCTATCAAAACATGAGATAGTTGTCTGCGAAGTTACACTCGAAACAAATAAACAAAATTCTGTCGCTTCTTAATGGTATGCTTCATGTAACCTAACTAAAACATTCTTATATACAATCAAAGTCTGCATAATCATTTCTGATTGTGAGTAATCACAGTTCAAGTATAAAAAGTTATTCAATTTACCCAGAAAACTAGTGATACAAAAAGTGATTTATTCTATAATATTTTATTTCATGAATAATGCAAGTTATTGTTTGATAACATTTGGAATTCAAAGGGTTATTCTTCTGTTTTAATTATCATATTTCATTTCACTCATGTGAATTAACTGTATTTAATCTTCAGTCTTATGCTATCAAATTCTAGCTCCCCATTGTCAGATTGTTTTTATCTTACGCCTATGTTATTATCAAATTTTATCAATTATTTTCATTATGAAACATAAGTGCATAATATATGTGTTTACTTAGTTGTCTTGTCATTTCTCATCCCGTGTTTCTTTTATAAATCCTTTCACACATGCTGCTCCTCATACTTATCCAGCATACAAGATACCTACAAGCTGGATGAAAATCTGTAAAAGATTGAATGTTACAAATTATATGCTAAAATGAAATCCACTGTGAATAACTCTGTTGACTACTCATAAGTAGACAGATTATTTCAACATCATCTGTTAAGAATTGTAAGAATAGGGCAACCTAATTTAAACTTAAAAATCGTTTCAAATATTATTATTTCCCAAAATATATGGAACGTAAATGGTCTCTTTCGTACAAGAGATTATTGTTTAATACTATACAATGAAATACAGGATACATATTCTATAATATTTGAGGCTTGTCAGATAGATTGACTTGGGTGAAACAATTGTGAGTGCTCAAATTCATGAATAGTTGCCCCAATTATTCAGTAAAAGACTACTGTTTACTAATCTAAAGGTTATGTTCTTCTCTATTAAAGAAAAAGCATAGTTTACCAAAGAATACGGAAAACAACACCTACTGTATGCTAGGGAACAAGAAACTCACGGTACTCTCCAGGCATTCTGGCTGCACGAAATGCATCATCTGACTGTCTGTGAATATTCTCATTTGAACTAAAAAGCCAACAACGACAGCAAGAACAGTATCGATCACACTTATGCCATGGAAGACATAAAAGTAATAGGAATAAAACAAGTAATATAGCCAGCACACCTAAGGTAGCTCCAGTCGCCCTGAAAAACATGTAAAAAGAAGAAAAATGTAGTAGAAAATGTGTATAAGTTATTTTGCACTGATATTCTTCCCTTAAATATTTCTATCTTCTTTAAAGTATATCAACACCAATTTATAGCTGTACGTTTATTGGCATGAATCTGAAACTAAAAGTTGTATATTTGGTACGGAATACACGTGAGTAGTTTGTTGCACATCCACTTCATTATATAGTGAATATATAATAAATTAAAACTTTAATCTCTAATTGAGTAGTAAAAGGTCCTCGTCAGTTCATAACTGTTAGAATAACTGGCTTGATATATATTAGTACCATTTGTTTCAAGTTAGTTTATTGGAGACAACTGATAAAAGTTTTAGGTACAAGGTTTCATGCCATTCAAGGACTACTAGTAAGATATGTGTTCAATGTTAAAGACGATACTAATTACTAAGCAGTTGAAACCATATCACATAGTACATACTCTGAAGTTTTACTAAAGAATTATTAAATGAATAATCGATTACCTAAAATTTCGTATCCCAACAATTATGTAAGTGTTTTATTATATTAACAAGGAATAGAGAAGAGAACAGAATATCAAATATGTGATTATATTCTTGTTGAAAACAGTAAAACAAAAATGATCACATATGAATCATGAACTGAAGTACTAGGAAGAATGTGAAAATGTAACGTTGAAAGATAACTAACACTTTAACCAAACATTTACATTATTAGTGAAAATTCACATCCAATAAATCATCTATAAACCTACAATTTCGAATTATTTCACACATACACTAATATTAGACATTGATAGTTTTGTAATTACATTTTTAAATGATTAATTGAAACAATCATTAACTCTGCGAGTAATATAAACAAATTTAAATGAAAGTAATTTTGGAAATTAGCTTGAATATTCACAGTATTTAGAATATCATTTTGATATCAAGATCATTGATAAAATAGATTCCATGTTCATTTCAGTTTATGTTTAAAAAAAACGAGAAGATTTGAGTATTTTCTTCCCCAGTTTATGTAATATACAGATAATATCAAAATCGTCTAAAATTGAGCTTCAATTGACTCATGATCTCAACTATAAAAATTACTATAATATCCATAAAACCCTTTCTAATACTAATCAACATATGCTCACTAGTGACTGGCTTCAAGAGGTATTTCTTGGAGTTCTAGTGTGAAATAGTGACCAGTGGAGTTCAACCAGGTCTGTTGTGAGATAGCAACTCATTAATGACAATGGTGGACGGTGGCGCAACTTCGTGGACTGGTTGAGGTTAGATATTAACACCGCTGGAAGCCGACTCAGTGGTTTAGTGGTGAGGTGATTGTGCGCGAGACTGATAGGTCCAGGTTTCGGATCTCGCGGTGGGTGGGATCGTGGATACGCACTGATGAAGAGTTTCATATTAGGAAGAAACGGCTTTCAGGTTTTCCACGGTGGTCTAGCTTCAATTGACTCATGATCTCAACTATTAAAGTTGACATGTTAAAAGGATATACAGTTATCCTATTGAAAATAATTCTTTTTAGTGTTATAGTGTTTGTAAAGTAGAAAAATTTCATTTCCCGACTGAGGTTACTGTTTCCCATCTACTACATTCTTATAATTCAATTCTAAACTAGTATTTTGATGATAAACACTTAATGTCATTTCATTGTAAAATAAATCTTAAAATATATAAATATTATCAGTATAGGGTTGTGGAGAATGTTGAGTTTAAATTCATATTATGAATGAATCAATGTTAGACCAACAATGAAAACTTGGAAGCACTGGGCGATTGTTTTATCTCAGTATCGGACTCCACAGCAGTGCGCATATAAATATTAATAAATAAAAAAAAACAGTTCAACAGAAATGTTTGTTTAATAATAAACGATTAAGTAAGTTCGCTTAATATTTATAAATATGATGAGATCAGTAGTAATAGCTAATTTCATTCAAAATTTCTTTGAATCCTACCAATGTCAGTACCAGTTTAAAGAAGGAAGAAAAACAAATGTACAAATTCTAACTTGGTAAAAACAGAATATTAACAGCTGTTGAGAAGTAAACGAAATAAAAGGAAAAAAAGTGAAGAGAAATATTTCACGAGAACATAAAATAACGAGTTTAAGTAGCTTATATTGTTGTGAATATTATTATCAGCCTAATTTTAATAATGAATACATAGAGAATTAGTTTAGTAACACTTATTCCTATGCAAATATCCAGAAACATTAGCTAATTGTTTATTAAGTATAATAATGATAGTTGGACATAAACTGTTTATTTCCGTAATTTTGACCATCACACATGCAAACATGTGCACGCACCGCATAACTGAAATAAATTAAACATTGAAAACGCAATTGAGACTTTTTTTAAGTGATCTAACCAAGAGTGTATTTAATATGTAAAGACGTTGGTAAGACATAAATACTTTTTAGAATATTTTTTTAAAGAATGTATTGTTCTAGTTTTTCAGTGATGTCTTTCGCTGAGTAGGTGTGACAGTTATGAAAGTTACTATCACTTAAAAATTAAATTAGACTTTGAATACTTAAATTTTGTATAAACGGATTAGTGTCTCTGTTACTCTGTCTGTCTCACTTTTCTCCTGGCTTAACTAGAATTATCACCCAATACTTACTCTTGACAATAATGAATTTCTATCGATCTAAAATTCAACAAAAAGGCTTTAATTATTTACTCATATTACGCCTCGAGGAGGAGCACAGGCCGCTCACAAACATTTTCCGTCCAACTCTGTCCTGGACGATACTTTCCAGTTCTTTACAGTTACAATTCATCGTTTTGATGTCTGTTTCCAATTCTCGAAGCACCGTGTTCTTTGGCATTCCTCCTTTCTGTTCGGGATTCCAAGTTAGCACCCACTCCGTGATGCGGTTTAACGATTTTTGTAATGTATGTCCTATCTATCTCCAACGTCTTCTCTTAGTTTCCTGGTTTGTTCTCTTCCACAATGGGATGTTGCTGATGGTATCCGGTCAACGGACATTGAATATCTTACGTAGAAAATTGTTTTTAAATACTTGTCATATCTTGATGAATGTTGCAGTAGTCCTTCAAGTTTCAGCTTCGTTGACCTCAAAGTTGGGCATCTACTGCGTCTTTCATCCGGTTCAACAACACTCTGTTGAAAACGTTTCCTGGTAACAATAGTAGTGTGATGCCTCTGTAGTTCTCACACTTGCTCAGATCTCCTTTCTTTGGTATCTTGATGAGGCATCCTCCTCTCGAGTTTGTCGGCACTTGTTCATCCTCTCAAATTCTCCAAACTAAAACGTAGATTACGTTTGTACTTCAATGTCTGACTTCAGTGCCTCGGCTGGTATATTGTTAAGTCACGCTGCTTTACCACCGTTGATTTATCTGATGACTAGCCATCCTGGTTCCTTCGATCCCTGGTGAAGTGACATTTATAGGAAGGTCTGTAGGTGCTGCTTCGATGTCCGGTGGTTCCAGTGTTACTGGTATTTTCAAGAGGTCCTCAAAATGTTCCACGCACATGTTCCTCTTTTCTTTAATCTCAGTGACTGGCTTTCTTTTTTTGTCTTTGACCGGTCTCTCTGCTTTACTATATTTCCCCGCTAGTCTCCCAATTATATCGCATAGTTGTCTCATATTTCCTTATGTTTCAGCCTTTTCCGCTGTCGTTGTTGGGTCTTCCATATATTTCAGCTTGTCAGCTCTAATGCTCTTCTTCAATTACCTGTTTGCTTCTGTGTATTCAGCTAGTGCATTGACTTCCACTGTTCGTGTTCGTCTGTTGTTAACTGCTATCTTCCTGTTCTTCCTTTCTTGGATCCTGTCTAGAGTTTCCATACAAATCCAGTCCTTATAATGATGCTTCATGCGTTCTAGAACCTCCTGACACGTTGAAGTTAGTGCCACTTTGGTCCCTTTCCACCTGTCCTCCACAGCGGTTTCTTCTTCTTTGAGTAAATACTGTAAGACTTGGAACGTGTTGCTGAGGGTTACCTTGAATTCGTTGAGTTTGTCAGTATCTCGAAGAAAGGTTGTATTGGAACTTTGTAATGCTATTTCCCCAGTTGTTCAATGCTTTTTTAGCCTCACTTTCATCTTGACAACCACCAGGTAGATGGTCATCTGAAGCTCTGGGAGAGCTACAGGTGGAGTTGCTTTGACTACTGAATACATATGTTATGGGACGTTTCTTATCAAAGTAGAACTTAAGATATATCAAAAAGAAATTTTTAGCTGGAAGCATTTGCCTTGCTGACTAAATCTACTTCATTAAGGCAAATGTTACCGGTAATTATTAAAAGAAACGTGTCATTAAACAGTAATGTTATATATGCTTTTAAACCATGAGATTTCTAATTCAGCCGGCGATTTCTTGATATAACCATTATTCAAACAAGTACAATATCTACCGATAATTCCACTTTATTCATCATTCTTACTTTACATAAACGAAATAAATTGCTAATTTTCACTATTAAGTATAAATAATATAGATGTCCTTTATTCACTAAAATGAAATTTTAGAATTATATTTTATGAAAAACCCTATAATATCGTAAAGTACAGCTCACGTGATTGACTGAATTGAAAATTAACAAATAATGTCTCCAGCTTATATGTTATTCTTTAAATAGTCTTAAATACATCGCCGTATATGCAGCTTCAAATTCGTAACAATAAGTTATATAATATTTTTAAAATCTGTCTTGATTGTTATTTTAGAGCGTTTGACAAAGAAAACATATTAGAAGTTTATTTTCTTGATTTATTCCACTTTATTTAATGCATTTTAAAGTGCTCTTCAGAATAACAAGTATAAATGTCCTGTTTCATTTAATTCAAATTGACGTTATGGTCGATGTTCTTAGTCTTTCGTTTATGAATACGGATGCAAGGATAATAATGAGTTCAACATTAATCATTTACTTCAGTTGGTATTTCTTGTGGGGGGAGGACATCAGATAAACTGATGCAATGAAATACTGTAAAGTACTTCT